TTGATCTCCTTTCATAGTAGTTATATTCTTTTTCTTATTAAAACTCATTTTGACAAAGATTTGTTTCATTTGACCTTGAAAATTAGCAAGTTTGAGGCTTCTTAATCAATTCTACTATTTTTTGTTCATTTTCTTTGAATTTTGGTTTCTCCTTCTTCATCTCTGTTATCTTTATTAACTGCCCTTTTCTATGTTCATTTTGTTTCTCTTTTTCTAGTTTTTTGTATTGAAAATTCAGGCCACTTAATTCTTTCTTGAAGTATAGTTTCTTTACAGTGTTGTATTAGTTTCTGGTGTATAGCAAAATGATACATATATATTTTTTAAGTTATATATATATATATACACCCTTTTCAGATTTTTTATTATAGTTTATCACATGATACTGAATATGGTTCCCTGTCTTATACAGTGAATTCTCACCGTTCAGCTGTGCTGTGTATAGTATGTGTATAGTAGTGTGTATCTGTTAATCACAAACTCCTCATTTGTCCCTCCCGCCTTTCCCATTTGGTTATCTGTAAGTTTGCTTTCTGTGTCTGTGGGTCCGTTTCTCTCTTGCATATGCATTCACCTGTGTTATTTTGTAGATTCCACATACAAGAGGTATCATACAGTATTTGTGTTTCTCTGTCTGTCTTCCTTCACTTAGGATGATGACCTCTGTGTCCATCCATGTCGCTGCAAATGTCAGCATTTCTTTTTTTTGTTATGGTTGGCTAGTATTCCTTTGTGTGCATGTGTGTGTGTATCATATCTTCTTTATCCCCTTATACATCCATCTGTGGATGGACATTTATATCGTTCCCATGTCCTAGATACTGTAAATAGTGCTGCTATAAACATGTGTGTTTTTGAATTAGTGTTTTCTCTGGATATATGCCCAGGAGTGGGATTGCAGGATCATATGGTAGTTCTATTTTTATTTTTTTAGGGAACCTCCATACCGTTCTCTATACTAGCTGCATCAATTTATATTCCTACCAACAGTGTAGGAAGAGTCTCTCTTTCTCCACACCCTCTCCAGCATGTCTTATTTGTAGACTTTTTGATGATGGCATTCTGACTAGTGTGAGGTGGTACCTTACTGAAGTTTTGTTTTGCATTTCTCTAATAATTAGCAATGTTGAACATCTTTTCACGTGCCTATTTTGGCCACTTATTATTTTCTAAACAGGGAGTTAAGACTAAATTTTCCTAAGTATTACGTTTCCAGCAGCTTGATGGTTTTATGGTTCATTTTTAAACAGTTCTGTTTTGATTTTTTTCTTCTAACCAGAAAGTTGTTTGCAAGCGTGTTTTAGAATTTCTACATGTATAGGATTCTTTTGGTTATACAAATTCTGTCAGATTATTTGGCCTGGATGTTTTCTGTGTTGAGAATGGTTTTGAGCGCTCCTTTGTGGTCTAATTCAGAATCATTTCTGTGAAGATAATAAAGACCAACACTTGTAAATGCTTATTCAGATGCTCTTGTCCCATAGTTTTCTGAGAAACTATGATAAAAGTCTTTTCATGATTACTGCTTTGTGAATCAAATATACTGGTATTCAAAGTTATGAACAATTTTGCAAAAATAAAAATGGACACATTTATAAACATAAATTTCAGCCCAGCCATGGTGCCTGGCTTATGCTAAGGAAGTGAGTCATCACCTACATAGATGGGGCTGGATTTCCACACAAAAACAACCTAAGGACTTAATAGCACAAAAATATTGTTCATTATCTTAAAACAAAGAATCTGTTCTAGCCATTCTTAGGAATCTTTCTAACCTCACAGAATACTCAGAGGTGTAGTCCAGTAAATTTTTCTACATAATTTATAATAATGAAAAAACAGAAATAAAAATCCAGTGGTAACTGTTAAATCATTTAAGGCCTATTATGTGGCCTTTTAAAATCATATTCTTTAAAAGACTATTAAGTAGATAATCAAGAAGGACCCTGTGTATACCAAGGGAAGTCTATCAACACTCTGTAATAATCTACTTGGGAAAAGAATTTGAAGATGAATAGATACATGTATATGTGTGACTGAAAAAGATTCTGTCATCTACAACCCATACAGCATTGTAATCAATGTTACTCCAATAAAAAGTAGAAATTAGTTTAATTTAAAAAAGAAGGAGGGGACATATGTATACCTGTGGCCGATTCATGTTGATGTATGGCAGAGACCAACATAATACTGTAATTATCCTCCAATTAAAGATAAATAAATTAACCCCAAAAAAGAGTAGTGGAAAAAACTTTTTAAGATTATGGGGTTATTATTCCTATTAATTTAACAAATCAGCATATAAAATAGTATGTATTATGATCACCTTTTGAGAAAAACAATACAGATGCATTAAATATATGCCTAGAATAAAAACATTGTCTCTTAAATGATGATATAATTTCATTTTATTCTTTATATTTGACTGTTTCTTCAAAATTTTTCCAATGATGATTTATGTAATAATAAGATATGTACCTTTGGAAGCATCTTTCGTCACATAATTCCTTTTGTCTAGAATGTATGTAACCCAGTATCAGATGAGTGCTAAAATTTAATAGTGAAATGCCTAGTTATAAAGGCAGAAGTACTTCAAATGATTATGGCAGATTTAATCTAAAATATACTTAGTGAAGTTTAAAATAGTATCAAGTGGACAGAGTAGAAAGACTGATGCATTTTGTGTTGGCGAGTGCAGACGGGGAATAGGTGTTCCAATCTGCTGTTGGCTGCGGGTGGTAGGCAACTTGTGATGGGCAGTTCAACAACATCTGTTAACATCCTGAGTATTTATAGTCCTGGACTCAAAAAGTTCTCTGCTATGAATTAGTTCTGCAGCAATTTTTATAAAAGTACTAAAAGATTTCACTGTTTATAATAGTGAAAAAAACTGAAGAAAAATATCCTAATATCCATCAGTATGTACCTGCATGCTAAGTCACTTCAGTTGTGTCCAACTCTTTGTGACCCTATAGACTGTTTCCCGCCAGGCTCCTCTGTCCACGGGTTCTCCAGGCAAGAAGACTGGAGTGGGTTGCCATGCCCTCCTCCAGGGGATCTTTCTGACCCAGGGATTGAGTCTGTTACGTCTCCTGCATTGGCAGGTGGATTCTTTACCACTAGTGCTACCTGGGAAGCCCAACTGGCCAAATAGATTGTGTTTATGCAAGCAAGGGCTTACTATATAGGCCTCAAAAAAATAGGGGAACTTTATGGAAAATGACGTAAAAAATGTCAAAGATGCATTTTTAAGTAAATGAAAGAAGTTGCAAAACACTATGTACAGTATTCCCCTGTTTTGGCGGATGCATTCTTATCTCTTGTACCACCAGGGGAGTCCTCAGCAAATTTTGATAAAAAAGAAATTTTAAAAGGTACAAAAAAATTCTGTCACTGTAGTCAGATACTACTTCTGCATTTCCTTTCTGTGTTTGGTGGTGTACCAAATAGTAGCAGTGTGATAAGCATATAAAATAGGATGACTGCCCTGGAAGAGCTTGACCTCAAATTTTCTTTTTCACATGTATACAGCATTCACATAATTACTTTTAGTGGGTAGTAATATGATACTTCATTTGCTAGAAGTCACATAATTACAATTCAGTAATTTAATATTTTGATTTAAAAAATTGAGATATAATTGGCCTATGACATGTTAGTTTCAGATGTACAGTGCAGTGACTCAGTATTCATATACATTGCAGAATGATCATCATAGTAAGTCATCTACAGCTATTTGCCGCCATATATAACAATTTGAATTACTGGAGTGGGTTGCCATTTCCTTTCTCAGGGGATCTTCCCAACCCAGGGGTTGAAGCTGGGTCTCCTGCGTTCAAGCGGATTCTTTACCATCTGCCCCACTAGGGAAGATGGCCACCATTAACAGTTTGATAATTTCTGACTTCAATGAATTAGTGCTGATTTCATGGATGTTTATCTTCTGTGAGTCAGATAATTTCAAGGTGGATATTTAATTTGTCTGAGAAAGGGATTTATTAGTGCAGGCCTTTTTGAAAACTCTGTAGGAGTTCCTATACAACATAATAAAGTTAGAATGTCTGCACCATTGTATTTTTCACAGTAGATTCAGAAGTATCTTTGTTATTTATGATGGGTCATGAGTAGCATGTAAAGTTAAAAAGATTAGTGCAAATATTTAGAGTTGGTTTTTCATGTTCATTTAATGTACCTGGTGAACTTTAAAATATCCATTAATTATACAGTATTAAACTATAATTTTCACTAAGTGGACTTATATTTCTTGAGAAGCTCTGTTAGTTATCCCTTCCTTAAATGCCTAGCTACCATAAAATTTTAACTAGAAGCCAAGCTTTGAAAAGGAGCAATAAACCATTAATTGCAGGTTATTATGAAGCTGGATTTTAAAGCAGTGTTTATAGAAATGTCCCATCAATACAGCTTCCATACGCTGCTTTATTTCTCCTTCTAGTTCTCATATATGTGCTTTGTGCACAGGAAATGTGGGTGCGATGTTGAAAATAAAACTGTAATAAAGCAAATTGTAAATAGAAGCAAAAGGAACAAAAAGTTATTTCGCCCACAATGTACTGCCTGAAATTTAGTTGGGAAATTAAGTCATTATTTTCTTTAGCATCATTGGCAGATTGAAATCAGTAACATTTGGAACGATTGAGCTAAATTCCTGATCTGATGATTATAAAGACGAAAAAAATAGTTCATGGCCTGAAGCAGTGATGCCAAACTCTTTTCGTATGAAAAGTAAAGTCACTGTGGGTAATTTCGCAAGATTTCCACTTTTAAAGTCATGCATTCCTTTTTGTCTTACTCTGTGGCACACCTCTTATCTCTAACTAAGGTGGAAGTTTGTTAGGGGTAGGTATTTAACACTGTCGAAGATGCATGCCTGCATCAGGAGCGATGGTGAAAGTGGGGTTTGGGAGCTGCCCAAGGTGGCGTCTGGTTCCCTGTAGCCTTGGGTAGACCTTTCTCCCCACCGCCGCGCTCCTTTTGTTGGATTAGATCATCTCTTGCATTCTGTTTTCCACTCCCAGAGCCTGACTTCGACGTGGAGCCTCGCAGGCACCTCGCCGTCCCTGGCTCTGTATGTGACTGTCGCCTGTCCTCCCGGCCAGCTGCAGAGAGGAGCTGCCCGCCCGCTCAGCAATCCCCCTGCGCCCGGGGGCATTGCCCTCACCACAGAGGTCTCGCTGCTGGCTTGCCCACACCGGCTCCAGGCTCCTCTTCACCCCTCTGCCCCTGGCCCCACACCTCTCTGCGTCCATCATGATGTCTGTACCTTCTGACGTCTCTTCCCCTTAGCTCCTTTTTGCTCCGAAACACACAGGACGGAGGATCAGGCCCACTCTCTCCCTGCCTCCCAGAGCTGATTTTCACTTCCACGGCCCACATGCCACTTTTTTCTTCTGTCGTGGAAAGCCCCAGGCTCATTATTTCTTGCTCCAGCCTCCCCATGGTGCTGATGCTGTTGACGTGCCCCCCACAAGAACGCTCTACCTCCCCACGTTGTCCACAGTAGTTCATCTCCCGCCGTGATGGCTGGTTCCCCCGCCCAGGGCTGCGGGTTGCTGCCCCTTCTCTGCTTGGTGGGGTGCGCTCATCACTGCTCTGCCCCCGGTCCACGCCCTCCCCTGGGGATGCTTCCCCCCGGAGAGTTCTCAGGGCAGAGGGACCCTTTGCACCCTGATGTGCTTTTGGCCCCTGTCTGGCCTGGGGGCTCGCCCTCACCCGGCTGACAGCGCTGAACCCGCCTGCGCTCCGCACTTCTCCCTGGATGTTCCCTTCCAACGCCCTGTCCAGCTTGAGGACCCGTGATTCTTTGGCTGAAGAGAATCATCTTCTCCAAGAAGCTAGTTAATTGGTAAACATCTTTGTTTCAGCAGAGCGCACTGATCATTCTCTCTGTGAAGGACACCACCTTAACCAGTGGGTTAGCGGAGAAGTGCAGCCGTCTCTGACATCAGCCCCGCTGTTACCCTCCCCGGGGTCAGGAGCTGACCTGCCGCAGGCCCCCAGCCCAGAGCCAGCCCAGCTCCATCTCACCGCGCCCTTAACTCCTCTCCAGGGTCACCACCATCTGATGGCGCTTCCTGGAGCCCCCGGAGTCAAGCCGCTCGTCATCCAGCCGTCCCTTCTTCACTGTGATTCTGCTCTTAGCTCCTTTTCTGAAGCCTTTCCATTTTACACCATTTCTTAAGCACATTTCAGTTGTATTCTCTCAACTGTGCTTTTACCTTCTTGAGGGTAGGAATACCTTTCATGCCCTCCCCTCTGGTGACCACTATTATACAAAGTGTCAGTAACTACTCGCTTACTGAGTGATTGTTGGGCATCACAGCCTAGAACTTCAAGCAATCCAGTCGTCTATAGTCAATGAAATACCAGAAGTTTCTGCTAGTTAACATGCAGGGGGCTTAACATTCTTGGGGTAAAGAACTGTTTTCTGGCTGGAATACTTGTCATCAGAGCGTCTGCCTTCTTGTTTCAGGGGAGAGCCTGCCTTCTTGACTTGGGGTCACCTTCTAAGGCTCACAAGAGAGACCCCCCCACCTGCTGCAGGTGCTCTAGTCACAGAAGGCGATGCCAGAATGGGCCTCAGCGGGAGTCTTGGCAGAACTTCCTCTCTCACAACTGAAGCCAGCAGAAGTTTAGCTTCTCCCCTTGGCAGATGTCGGGGCTGGGGCTGGGAGCTGGTGTTCTCAGATCAGATCCAGAGCCCCCTTCCGCTGCACACCTGCGTGTGTTCCGCCCCTTCTTGCATTCGTGTGGCACATCGGTGTGTGCTGGTCCCTGCAGAGCAGATGAAACGCACAGAGGACAAGCAGTGTCTGCCGGCCGGCGGACGCCTCGACGGCCGTCACGTGGAGGTGCCGCGGGACGGGCCACGGAGCAAACGCCTTCCGGCCTCTGTTTTCATAAGGACGGGGTTTGAGGAGGCCGAGGGACGGCACCAGGAGGGGACGTCTGCAGATGTGGGTGCAGGGCGCCCCTTTGAAAGCGTGAGGAAGCGCGGTCCGAGCGCAGGCGGGGTGGTGGAGCCTCAGAGTGGACAGGGCCGGCCTCGCAGGGGCGCTGGAGCCCGGGCCTGTGTGCCCACCCGGCGCCTCTCGTCCCTGGTGCGGGCGGTGAGGCCTTGGCCGAGACGATGGTGTGGAGAGTGGGTGAAGCTCCCTGGGGGTGCACGTGCTAACCCCCAGGCAGGAGGGGGCGGCGGGCGCAAGCCTGAGCAGCCCTCGCGGATGCCCGCGGAGGGCCCCCAGCTGGTGGTCAGGGGTCTGCTGGGCGGGCGTCGGGCCTTCCGAGGCGGCCGTGTCGCGGTGCCCAGGGTCGGCTCCCGCGGGGAGGAACCCTGGGCGACAGGCGGTGAGCGGCGCTGCTGCAGGACTGGCCCGAGGTCTGCAGTCCTGGGCGGGCCCAGCCCCGGCAGACAGCAGCGGTGCTGACCGAGTAGGTCCTTCCCCCTTTGCAGCAGTTGATCCAGAAGGAATAGAAGAGTCGGCCGAAGGAGAGGAAGAGACGGGGTGTGAGTGAAGCCGTCGTGTTTGGAAGGGATTTGCTCTGAACGGTGTGGCCAGTTGATTTGGTTCCAAGTGGAGCCCAAGGCCAGCAGGGAAGTGCTCTAGACCGGGTCCGGTCAGGGCGCGGGGTCTCGCCTAGAGGGGGCCAGGTCAGGGCGCGGGGTCTCCGTTAAACCGGGTCTGGTCAGGGCGCGGCATCTCCGCCCGTGAGGGCGCGCCCCTGTGGCGCGTGCCTGAGACCAGCGTTGGGTCCTCCGGGTGCTCCCTGCTGTCCCCAGCAGCGCCGTCTAGGATCCTGCCCTCCCATGACCTTCGGCGTTGGATCATTCTTCAGTATGAATCATTCAGCCAATTGATTTTAATGAGCTCACTGTAAATAATTAGTGCAGAGAATTAAAGGTGTGATCTACTCCTTGATTTGTTCATAACCCTCACCCTGCCCTCTGGCGTCGCCTGCTACTGATCCCAGTCGAATTGTGAAGTTTCATGCAATGAAATGCACATGCGAAGAGAGCAAAAGCAATTAAAACTGCTTGGGAAAAAAATAAAACCTGGAGCAATTAACACCTAAAGGATTTACTGGGACCTTTCTAAGCGGAAGAAACTGTGAAGAAGAGATTAGAAAAGCAATGCCTCAGAGCAAATATTAAAATCTCCTTCTTCTTGATTCCTAAAGATAATTGGATCTAGTGGTAAAAAGTAAAGAATGTATATGTGTGTGATCACATGTGTACAGGTTTGTATGTACACACATTTAAGTATTTGAGTCAATATATCTTACCAGACTCTGAAAAAAGAAACAGGCCATCCCAGTCAGGAAGATGAAAAAATGACCTGAGAGAAGGGGAAACTGTGTATTATTAGTTCACGAATAGATAATAAAATGGCAGGTTCAAATCCTGTGCCAGCAACCTGTATACCCGAGCAAGTACAGCGTGTCTGACTCTATGTTAAATTTATTTTTTTATAATCATTTGTTTGCCTTCTTGACTGAATTCTTTGAGAGTAGAGAGCAGTCTTATTTAACTCTGTGTCTCCAGCCAATTCTCATAAAAGTAATCAAATGAACCTGGATGCTGGGCTCCAAAGCCTGCATCACATATAGGGCAGGGGACGTGTTACTCCGTTTTATATTCCTAACGCCTAGCACTGCGCTCAAACGTTGTAGTTAGTCAATGAAAGTGTTTTGACATAAAGAACAAAAAAAAGTTTTAATATTTAAATTTACCCAGATGTAGTGAATGAATGTTTTTAACTGTATCAAGTGTTGGCAATTTTGGCATCTTGTACGTATTTTAAAATCATGTTTAAGATAATGAAAGGGGGTGGGATGAGTTTAGAGAGTGGTGTTTCTGGAAACACAGAGGACCCTACAGTGCATCAGGAAGTGAGTGAGTGAGTGGGAGTGAGAAGCGGCAGCCCAGTTGCTCTGGCTGCCGACCGTGTTCCACATGGGCTGGGCCCCTGAGGTTCTTAGACCCATCACTCAGTGCGTTCTTATTTAGGGCCGAATCTCTGTCCCCGAGCTGGACACTTGGGGACAGTTTCTAGCACTTACCTAGTGTCTCTAGGAGCTTAGTGTCTGGTGGGAGAGACAGAAACGCATTGTGGAATGAAATGATAAATATAAAATGATGATGACAGGTATGGAACGGGGGAGGTCCATGGGACTGAGAGAATATATAATAAGAGAAAGAAAGAAAGTCGCTCAGTTGTGTCCGATTCTTGCGACCCCGTCGACTGTAGCCCACCAGGCTTCTCCATCCATGGGATTTTCCAGGCAAAAGTACTGGAGTGGGTTTCATTTCCTTCTCCAGGGGATCTTCCCGACCCAGAGATCGAACCCAGGTCTCCCACATTTCATACAGGTGCTTTACCGTCTGAGCCACCACGAGTTGGACTTAACTCCAGAGATCCAGGAAGTGATCATTGTTTGGAAATCTGAAGACCGAACAGGCAGAGCGGGAGGAGAAGGAGGAGGTTAGCGGGCGGAGGAGGAGCACAGGCCAGGCCCGGCGGACTGCAGGTGGGAGGTGTCGGGGTGGGGGTGAGCCTGGACCCTGCCGGCCCCGGGCCTCTTTAAGGCGCATCACCTCCGTCAGAAAGGGAGGGAAACGGTGAGGAGTCGCCAGCAGTAGGTGTCCAGACCACGTCCCAGGGCTGCGGGGGCCGACAGAGTGACAGGGGCAGCGGGCAGGCCCTGCTGTCCGGAGGCAGAGTCGGCGTGCAGGGGAGGGCAGGGGGCGGCTTGGAGCTGGACCTCAAAGGTGACGTCGGCAGGATGCGTGGGTCCGAGACTCTCCTGGGCTTCCAGCCGGGGGCGGGGCGGGCATCCTTGCAGGACCAGCTGGCCCCGGACTGGGGCTGAAGGGCCCTTAGACCACCGGGAAGAGGTGTCTGGAAGCAGCTGCACACGCAGGTCGACTGTGCGGCCGCGGGCACCGGGGCTCTCGTCCCCAGCTGGGGGTCCCCCGACCCGCAGTGTTTCTCTTGCTGCCGCCGCCGCTGAGAATTCCTGTTTGGGGTCGCGGTTCTCTTTAGCAGCCTTACGCTGTTTCCTCGGCGAGATCCAAGTCCAGAAGTCCTGGCCCAACAGCACTAAGATGTAATCACCTTGGAAGCTGCGATTATGTCTCACTTCGCATAACGCATAAAAGCGGCTTATGGAGCAGTCTTGAGAGCCGTCCTCCTGCGACCCCCGGTGCGTGGGGAGGGGGAGAGGGCAGCGTCAGCAGCGGGGCACCCGCCCGGCTCCCAGGGGTGCTTGCCTTGGGAGGTCGGGCTGGTCAGGGGTCTGTGTGTAGAGGAGAATCCACCTGGGCTCTAATCGCTGCCTCCCTCCAAGTCTCCAGGGACAAAGCGTCCCGGGCCTCAGGTCACACCAGGGCAGAGTGAGGGGGTGGGCTGGGTGGTCAGGCGGGCCCCGGGGGTCCTGGCAGCCGCCCCTGAGTAATGAGGGGAGACGGAGGCCAGGATTCGCTCCCTCCATCCAGGCATCGCCCAGATTTCAGCCCTCGCTCTCAGCGCTTTCGGCTCCTTCGCAGTATCCTGTATGCAGGATGCCAGCCGCTCACCGGGAGCTTTCGTTGCCATCATTCTGGATCCCGGTAAAGACCAGACTCCCAGGTCCCAGAGTCCAGCGGACGTGACTCCCTGGACCGTCCACACTGGTGGGAACGTCCGAGAGGCCTCAGTGCGGGGGTTTGTCAGAGGGGCTTCTCCGCCGTGTGACACAGACCTGTTCTGGGGGCCATGGAGCTTTCCCCTGCACTGGGGGCGGGCTGGCTGGAGCATGTGCCCGTAACCCAGGGGCTGGAGACTGGCTGGCGACGACCAGGCTGACTGTCGGGGAAAGGGAAGCCCGTGAACGGAGGTGCTCTGGGTGAGCCGGACAGGCTCTTGCAGGCACCATGCCCTGGGCTGGGGGCCGCGGGCTTCTTTCCAGACCGCACGCCAGAGGGCAAGCCACCGCCAGCCCCAGAGGGCTGGCTCTCCCCGGTCCAGGGCGGGGGGGCGTAGCTGCTGCAGGTGGGATGGAGTGCGCGTGCCTCTCAGGGCCTCAGGCCCGTAGTAGAATGAGCTGGTGGGGGAGGCCCTTGGGGCCTCACTGCCCAGGTGGTTCCCTCCCAGACAGAGTGGGAGAGGCCAGCTGGGCCTCTCCCACAGCTGGGGGGAACAGGGGGTTGTGAAAGAGGCCACGGTTGTGTTGGCGAGGGTTCCCCACAGAAACTGGCGAGCCTCGTGATGAAGGTGAAAGAGGAGGCTGAAAATGCTGACTTAAAGCTTAACATTCAGACTAAGATCACGGCATCCGGTCCCATCAGTTCATGGCAAACAGATGGGGAAACAGTGGAAACAGTGGCAAAGTTTATTTTCTTGGGCTCCAAAGTCACTGCAGATGGTGACTGCAGCCATGAAATTAAAACATGTTTCCTCCTTGGAAGAAAAGCTCTGACAAACCTAGACAGTGTGTTAAAAAGCAGAGATATCACTTTGCTGACAAAGGTCTGTATAGTCAAAGCTGTGGTTTTTCCAGTGGTCATGTATGGATGTGAGAGTTGGACCATAAAGAAAGCTGAGTGCTGAAGAATTGATGGTTTTGAGCTGTGGTGTTGGAGAAGACTCTTGAGAGTCCCTTGGACTGCAAGGAGATCCAACCAGTCAATCTTAAAGGAAATCAGTCCTAAATATTCATTGGAAGGACTGATGCTGAAGCTGAAACTCCAGTACTTTGGCCACGTGATGTGAAGAGCTGACTCATTGGAAAAGACCCTGATGCTGGGAAAGATTGAGGGCAGGAGGAGAAGGGGACGACAGAGGATGAGATGGCTGGGTGGCATCACCGACTCCATGGACATGAGTCTGAGTAAACTCCGGGAGTTGGTGATGGACAGGGAGGCCTGGCGTGCTGCAGTCCATGGGGTCGCAGAGTCCGACACGACTTAGTGACTGAACAACCCAGAGAAACAGGACCGTTAGGGCGTGTATGTAAGAGAGAGAGAATGAGAGATGGATTTTAAGGAACTGGCTTGAGTGCTCATCGGGCTTGCCTGTTTGAAATCGTACAACCGGCCAGCCGCAGACTGGAGACTCGGGAAGAGTTGATGTCTTGAGTCTGATGTCAGTTCTTCCATGCTGCCGCCTGGAGGCCAAATTCCTTGCTCTTGGGACACCTCTCTTTGCTCTTAAGGCCTCAGCTGGCTGACTGAGGCCCATCCACATGATGGGGCTAATCTGCTGAACTTCAAGTCCACTGACTCTAAGTGTCCGTCACAGCTTCACTAGCGTTCGACCAAACCTGTTCTACCCAAGTGAGCACATAAATTGACAGTCAGCGTGATGCTCAGGGAACATTGTCATCTCTCAAAGGAAGGAGGGTGGTTAAGAAACCATTGCCTTTTGACACAGAGTGAAGGGTGGAGGAG